ATAATAATAATAATAATAATAATAATAATAATAATAATAATAATAATAATAATAATAATAATAATAATAATAATACACACATAGTGTATGAGATTATTGTCTTTTTTTAGTAATTATTTATTAGTATTAGTTCTGATTTCATTCTACAACGACAGCCGGTGTCGGTAGAATATCCAATTGATCAATGCTAGTAAGATTGTTATGACGCCCGCTATTGTTGCTGTTTTTATAATGTGAGAATTTTTCACTTGATACTCTGAATCTTGACGTTTTTTTCTTTGTTTGTAATCCATTTTCGTCATATTCTTCTACATGTGATTGTATTATATCATAATCAAAAGAAGCTGACCATTCGCTTTCTTTTTCTTTAAATTTTTTTTCTACTTCTGTGCTATTGAAATGATCTTTATTATCATTGTTAATATTCTTAAAATTATGAAAACGTGTGAAATTGCTGAGCGATTCGTCAATATCATCTTGAAGACGAGTAGTTGGAATATGAACGGGAATAGGGTTAGAAGCAGCAACAGCAATATTTGTAGAATCTGACGATGATTTCCAAGTCGAATCTATTCCAAATCCAGATCCGGATTTAGATCCAACATTAATATCACCAAGAGCAGTATAATGAATAATTGTTGCCTCATCTGAATCCTTATTTGTCATTGGGGTGTTTAGATCATTATTTTTCTTTACACTAGGATAACGAAAAGCCAATAGCTCAATTTCATGATTTTTTGGAAATGAATTACTTTTCTTCTTTTTAATCGTTTGTTGTGGATGATGATTCGACGATTTATTGTTATTGTTATTGTTATTATTATTCTCTTTCTCTTTAAGGTTAAAAGTTGAGAAGTTACCAACTCTTCTCAGTAGAGAAAATGATTGATCGCGTGAATGATTTCCCGTTGGAGGAACAAATGAGATCCCGCTATCTCGATTTTCTGGAGATGTTGATACAATTGCTAGTCTTTGTTGCTGCTGTTGTGTTGCTGTTATAAAAGAATTAGAATTCGCTGGTGGCGATGTTGGCCGTGGTGGTGGTATTATTGATGTGGGTTCTATTGGTAAATGAGAAGGTAATAGAGGAGTATGAGCAGGTTTATTGTGAACTGAAGATGTTGGATTGGCAGGAGGTACTATTAAGTGTGGCTTATAAGTAAACATACGTTTTAGAGGTCGATTTGAAGATCCTCGAGAATGTACTGAAATTGATTGAGCAGGTGATGGCGGTATAGATGTTTCTAATCGTATTGAAATTGAATCTTTTTCTTTTATCAATGAGTGATTTTGTGGTGTTTTAAAATTAGCCGATCTTGGTGATGGTATTTCTGATTTATTATTTAATTGGCTAATTCGCTGAATATCATCATGATTACTATTATCGTAATCATTGATAATATTCTTATCAGTAATATTACAATTGCCATAAACATTACCATCTTTTGCATCATGATTATTTTTTTCCGATCCGAATGAAATTTTTTTGACAATCTTTTTCCCTATATTTTTTATTATTTGGCTTTTTTTCTTATTTTTTATTAAAGAATCGAGTAATATTGGAATTTCATTGACTGTTTTTGGCGCATTTGTTGTTTCATTATTTATGCATGATGAACTACGATTATGATGATGATAATTTTCTGTTAATGGTGATGCGAGCGTTGCGTCATCTTCTTCCCCAGTTAAATTTTTTTGATGTTGACGTTGATGTACTGATAATGGAAATTGAGACGATGTTGGTGATGAGGTAACTGTATTGTTTGTACTTATGGGTACATAAATAATTTCCGGTATTACTGATGGTGTATTTTCTGGAAGCGCTGAATTGAATCTTTCCTGCACTGCTTCTGTTTCTCTCTTTAATTGTGCTTCAAGTGCAACCAATTGTTTCTGAAGATCAACATAGCTTAACACATGATGTGATTTTGCTTCTCGAGAAGGTAGTGCCTTATCAGTGGTTTAATCGGTATCGAAAAGATGGAATTTAAGAAATGAATTTTTATTTATTTTATTGTATTTCAAAAGTGATGTTAAAAATAAAAAAAGATAAATTATTCATTCGATTAATAATTGATTGATTGATAGATAGATTGTGCTATAAAGTTCTATCCGAAAATTCAAAAACTATTAATCCAAAATTCCAACTTTCTCACTTAAAAACGATTGATAATAATAAATTATATATGGAAATCACGCAAAATCCAAATTTTCTAATGAAAATAAATACGACACCACCAAAAAGAGAAACAAATATTAAACATACCATGCCAGTATGTAGTTTCAGATTCTCCTCCGTTAACGGACTGGTATAATTCTTATAGCCCGTTACTTTACCATTTCTTGTTGTACGCGATAATGAGACAGCTACTGGACTTGTTGTAACGAGTAGATTAGTTGCTTCATCCATTTTTATGTAAAGAAAACTAAGAAATATTGTTTTCTAATAGCATTTGATTAATATAAATAATTGAATAATGAGGTAGTGTTGTGGTGGTCGTACAATGCAGTCTCACCAAACTTACAGTGTTCAGTCATAGAATGAAACCAGGTTAGGGGGATAATATCCTAACGGGATAAAAATTTTAATTTAATTATATCGGCAGGGATCGGTGATCAAACAGCAATTGAAAATTCAATTCAGCTGTCTTCGTTCATGTACATTTTTTGCCATCAAAATTGTTAAATATAACGCCCCGTTACATAGCCTCTTTTGTAACATCCTAATAAATGACTTAAGAATTTGTCGATTAAGATGCTATTTAATGTAAATTTATGCAAAGAACATATTTAATTAGACTACAAAAGGCAGTTTACTTAGTAAAGTTTTGAGTTATTAATAAAATCGCAAGATCACGTGTCACGCGAGCACGCATTTTCAATGAAAACAAAATGATGAATTTCCAAAAAATCAAAACTTTGCTTATGAAACCTCTTGATATTCTAATTATAAATGTTCTTAGCGTAATTTTACTTTAAAAATAATTATATACTCTAATCTTTGATATCTTTAAATATTGTTAGCTTTTTTATTTTGAGTATTACAAAAAAAGTATTGTAACAGAATGTTATACATGTATTAATCCTTTTTTAAATATTATAAAAATCAAATAATTAGAATGTAATTCTCAAGAATTTTTATTATTGTTATTTTAGGAAAATTAAGTGATTTTTTTATTAATTTAATACTAATTTTTTCTTATTAATTGTTTTCATATGAACTTAAAATATTTAAAATAAAAAATTTTGGATGTTTATATCAATAAAAATTGCATTTTTTTAACTTTCTAAAATATTCAAAGTGTCAATGAATGTGGAATTTAATAATTTTCAAATATTGAACTGCAAATGAATTTTAGATCTCTTTTTAGAATATTTTAATTATACTTTAAGAAAATAAATTTATTTCTTATTTTGAATATTTTTTTAATATTTTGCATATTGTTATGAATTTTAGTATATTAAAAATAGTAAAAAAATTGAAACTCTCAAAAATAACAATAATTCATAAATAATTATATGATTATCTTTTATTTTTATTAAATTTCTTATTATATTTTATCTATTTATATTGATATTTATTTTTTTATATTTCTTTATATCCTTTTTGATCTTTTTTAATTCTTTTATATCTTTATTTTATTTTTTTATTCTTTTGATCTTTTTATATTTTTTTTGATTTTTTTATATTACATATAATAACTTTTTAATTATCTGATACAGATATAATATTTTTTATTATCTCATAATACATGATAAATTTTAATATAAATCAATCTAATCTGATAAATATTTTTATTTTGTATTAACAAATTTTGTATAAAAACAATATTTATAAATAAAAAATAAAATTTTTGTATAAATATGAGTGCTATCTTAATATATATTCTTTCATATTTCTTCAATCTTAATAAATATAATTTAATTTATAATATTAATTATTATGTTGAATGCTATATTTATTTTTTATTTTTGAATTTAATTTAAAATAATTAACTAAAATAAGTTGAAATCAAATATTAAAGCTTGTTAATTTTTGTTAAAATTATTTATGATTATTATATCAAGAATATATTTTATAAAATAATTGATTTGTTATTGAATATTGATATTTGATTTTGTTATTTTTAATATTATTTTGATCAGTTATGCACTACAACTTTAAATAAATGATTTTCTTTTAGTATTTATATTAGTTTAATATAATTAAATATCTCAACTTTAAATAAATATATTAATTTTATTAGTATTTTTATTATTTTGATTAGTATTAATATTTTTGTTTAATATTGATAAATGTAAATATAATAATTTTGCAATTAATATTTTATTAATAAATATAGTTTTTTTACTTTTTCTAAACTTTTAATTTCTTTATATATAAAATTATTTAACAAGTTTCATAAAAATTGGTACAGATATTAGATATTTATCTTTGTTTTTATTAAATTTTATTTTATTTTAATTCACTCTCTTTTATATTTTTATATAACTATTGATATTAAAAATGAAGAAACTCTTTAAATAATATTCATAATTATATGAATATTATTTATATATTTATTGAAAAATCTACAACATCATATTTTACTATATATTTAGAAATACAATATCAAGAAAGAATCTTTTGTTAAAATATTAATATTAATATAATACTAATTTTGGCTCAGTTCAAAAATTTGAATCTAATTAAAAATCTGATTTAAATTAGATTCAAATTTTGAACCTATCAAAAGTTTAGTTTGAGTTCAAATAAATATTTGTTAATATTCTAAATAAAATTATAAATTTTAATATGAACTACAAATTAATATAAAATAGTATTATCATTCTCATCAAAAATTTTGTAATTACTTAATTTTGATTAACAAAAATTAAAATGTATTACAAAAAAATTAATATAACATCATGTAACTTAATGATGATCAAATTAATTTGTCTCTTTATTTTTATATTATACCTTATTATATGATTATATTTAGTATATATTATTATCTTTTTGATATCTAAATTATAATATCTAAATAATAATTATATTTTGTATACTTTTTGTTTTATTTTCTTTTACTATTTCACTAAATTTATTTATTTTACTATAAATTTTATATTTTTACTATTGATTTATCTCATTTATACTTTTATTATACTTATTTTTATCTTTTATTTCATTATTTTTAATTAATTATTTTTATATTTATTTTATTTTCTTTTCACTCTTGTTCTCTTGTTACAATTATTCTTTTTATCTCTTAATTTTTTTGTTATAATTATCTATAATCATGTTTATATTATTATTTTCTTTTTTATAATACTTTTTTTATTTAAACTCTTGCTTTTTCTTATCTTAAATCACTAGAATTGCAACTAATTTTCTTTTATATTTTCTTGTTAATAAATTTGTGTAATTTCTCAGTATTTATACTCCTTTTATATTATTAGTATTATCTATAAATTGTAATATAGTTTTGAATAGTTATTAGTTTTATAAATCATATAAAATATTGAAAATATATAAAAAAAGAATCTCTTATTACTAGAAATTCTTATGCTCTAATCCTTTAATTTAATAAATACCAAAGTTCTTATTAGAAATATTTTACTTATAAATATATTATTATTTTCGTGAATTATTTTTAAATTTTAAAATTACAAGTAATGAATGTTTCTTCATTCTAAATAAGTTATTAACATTATTATTTTTGTTTAATTTAGTTTTATTATTTTTAGGCAATCTCAATAAGTCTTATTTAATTATTTTTAGTTATCTTAGTTTATATTTTATAATTAATAGTCTCAATAAGTTCAATTATTATTTTATTTTATTAGATCTTATCAATAAGTTTTATTATTTACTTTGAAACTATTTGTTAATTTCTTTAATTTTTTTGTATTTTCATTTTATTTTTCTATCTATTTCTATTTTTTATTAATAATATTTAGTTAGTTTATATACAAGCTATCATAAAAGATCTTTAGAATCTTTAATAAACTTTATTAATCATAATTTATTTAGCCTTTGTTCTTTTACTGTTATATTACTTTGTTAATTAATTTCAATAATTTTTGAATTAACAAAAACATTTTGGTACTCTCTCTATAAAATAGATATCTCTTTTATTTTTATAATATTATTTTATTTAATTTATCCAATTTTATTATTATATAAATACTCTTTATATTTTTATTGAATAATCAACTAAAAATCACTTTTATACTCACAAATTTAAACAAAAAAGACAATTTCTTCTAAAAATAAACTCTAAATATTATTATTACTTGTATTTTACTTTTTTTGATAATATTTCTGATAAATTAGCTAATTTTGTTAATTGAATTCAAATTTTAAAGCAGTTTCTGAATCACACACTATTAAAATCATATTTAAAAATATTTTAAATATCTATTACCAGAAAAACTTTGTAAAAGTATTATTAAACTTGTCAATAGTTTATTATATCAAAAATTACTCAGAAACTAATAAAATTACTAGATAATCAACAAGAAAAAGTTCAATAACAAGTTGCTATTACAAATTATGATTTTGAATTTGAACTTTATCTTCCAGAATTATTTCAAGAAATAATAGATATTGATACAATTTTAGTAGCTGTTAATGGATTTATAACTGCATTAATAATTCAAAGTAACAAAATTACTAAGAAAATTATTATATTTATCAAGAAATTTTGTGATAAAGATCAAGATTCAGTTACTTGTCTAAGAGATTTTGAAGTTGCTGTTGAAGTAAATGAAATAACAAATGCAAGAAAAATTCAAATTGTACGTGGATATTTGAAAGGTTCTGCTACTATTTGGTTTAATAAGAGAGCCAAAAACAATATTCTCAGTTTAAATAACTAAAAAAATCAAGATTGTAATAAATATGACTTCAAATATCAATTTACACTTAAATTTTATACTAATCAAAAGGTAAATAAATAGAATAATAAATTAGAAGAATTATAACAAACTGGAACACTTGATAAGTACACTAACAAATTCTATGAATTGCTTTATAAAGCAGATCCAGATAATCACATTTACAATAACAATAGAATTAGCATAAATTAAAATTAGAACTCAAGAAATGAGTAAAAATAAATGTTGATAGAACTTTTATAAACACTATTAAAATAACAAAAAGAGCAAAATAAAACATTCAATAAAAACTATCACCAATCTCAAGCTATATCAAATAGTGAAATAAATACTATATTAAAAGTTCTTTAAAATTTTATCCAATAATTAATCACTACTGGAATCTATAATTAATTTAGAAATAACTCATATAATTAATATTTTAACTGGAATTCTCAAAGTAATAATTCAGCAATTACTTGTTATAATTGTGATGAAAAAAAATATATTAAATATAACTGTTCAAAATCAAAACAAGATCCAAATTAATGA